CTTCATTATTGCTCTGCACGTTCTTGTCACCTTCATTACCATTCTGCACGTTCTTGTCACCTTCATTACCACTCTGCACTTCCTTTTTACCATCATGCTTGCTCTGCACTTCCTTTGGAGCCATGCTGGATGTACTGTATGTGCTAAAAAGCACATCAAAAATCTTCACAGCAAGTGTCTGTCTGCGACCGCGATCTCACCTAGAGGAAGCCACGACCACGTGTCAGAGCAGGGAAGATGGTCACAGGTCGTGTTCGTCACCTGATGCGGAGTTGGCAAACGGAAGCAAAATTTTGCGAACGCTGCTGTTTGCGAACCAAATTGTTCGTGAACAGAATTGTTCATGAGCCAAGGTACAGTGGGGCAAAAAAGTATTTAGTCAACCACCAATTGTGCAAGTTCTCCCACTTAAAAAGATGAGAGAGGCCTGTAATTTTCATCATAGGTATACCTCAATTATGAGAGACAAAATGGGGGAAAAAATCCAGAAAATCACATTGTCTGATTTTTAAAGAATTTATTTGAAATCACATTGTCTGATTTTTAAAGAATTTATTTGAAATCACATTGTCTGATTTTTAAAGAATTTATTTGAAATCACATTGTCTGATTTTTAAAGAATTTATTTGAAATCACATTGTCTGATTTTTAAAGAATTTATTTGAAATCACATTGTCTGATTTTTAAAGAATTTATTTGAAATCACATTGTCTGATTTTTAAAGAATTTATTTGAAATCACATTGTCTGATTTTTAAAGAATTTATTTGAAATCACATTGTCTGATTTTTAAAGAATTTATTTGAAATCACATTGTCTGATTTTTAAAGAATTTATTTGAAATCACATTGTCTGATTTTTAAAGAATTTATTTGAAATCACATTGTCTGATTTTTAAAGAATTTATTTGCAAATCATGGTGGAAAATAAGTATTTGGTCACCTACAAACAAGCAAGATGTCTGGCTCTCACAGACCTGTAACTACTTCTTTAAGAGAAATAAATTCTTTAAAAATCAGACAATGTGATTTTCTGGATTTTTTCCCCCATTTTGTCTCTCATAATTGAGGTATACCTATGATGAAAATTACAGGCCTCTCTCATCTTTTTAAGTGGGAGAACTTGCACAATTGGTGGGTGACTAAATACTTTTTTGCCCCACTGTATTACTGTAAATAAAAAATAAATAAAATAAAATAAAATAAATGGAGAGCCAGTTTGGTCTAGTGGTTAAGGCACCAGGCTAGAAACCAGGAGACACTGAGTTCTAGTTCCGCCTTAGGCATGAAAGCCAGCTGGGTGACTTTGGGCCAGTCGCGTGCTCTCAGCCCAACTCACCTCACAGGGTGGTGGTTGTGGGGAAAATAGGAGGAAGAAGGAGTATTAGATATATTTGCTACCTTGAGTTATTTATAAAAATAAAGGCGGAATAAAAAAAAATCTAAAAAAAAATTGGCTCTCTTAATCTGCAACCCCTAATCTGAAAATAGCAAAATTAATCTATTTTAAACTGTATTTTAATACCCTGAGTTGATGAGAGGTGGGCAACAGTATGTTGGCTTGCAAAACAGTCTCTATATAAGTTTGCATAGAATAGCATGAGAATGCTGCAGGCAAAACTGGGTATTGATTGCTGGTGATATTCTACCCAAAATGTGTCAAAATTGACTGATATTGTTACCATTAGCAGGAAATGTGGCATAGATATAACTAAGCTGGTAATTTAGTGTCAGCTTGTCTATATTATTAAAAGCATTATGTGAAAGGCCTGATTGACTAAAGTCATGGTGGGTGGTGGATATCAATATCTTTGAGCCAATGTGGTGATAACCATGGCATATGAAGAAGCAAGTGGCAAATAGTGTGAATTATATTTTTTCTTTTTATTCTGTTTGTAAAGAGTTAATTTAGTTGACTTTGGCTACAATAAAAATGAACTTAAACATGTCATGCATGTCTGTGAAACTAAGAGAAAAGGGGCTGATGTAATAGTACTGAGTGAAGGTGGTCTGATTTTATGCAGTTGATAAATACATGCAGAGAAACATGGTGTAAGTTTAATTGCAAAAGCTCGAATTAAGAATCCACAGATTGATGACAGTGGCATGATGATAATAGAAGAACCAGAGATGAATTTGGGGGGAAATTGTGCAACATTCTGAATAAAGGCCATTCAGGAAAAAAATACTTCGTTAAATGATATGGATAAATAGGAATGAGAGAAGAAAGTACAGAAAAAGGGCAATTTTAAGAATGGTAACATTCGTGATTATCTGCTTGGGCTCTTGGTTTCAAGTAAGTGGTGGGAGCATAAGTTCTTTCATATGTAAACATGGCAAAGAAATTGATTTGCATGTAAAATTGTTGATCATTTATGATGAAAATTAAGAGGATTGGTGCAGGATGCTTGGGGGATGAGGTGTTTGGAATGTAGGACAGACCATTCTTCAGTAGTGTCAGGAGTGAATCTTGGGGAAAAAGTGGACATGGAGGAAGAGGAAAGAAGTAAAAGAAATGAGAGGGAAAGAACAACTACTGCAGGAAGAGAAAGTTCTGTATGAATAATAAAGAAGAAAATAAATAATGAAGAAAATAAATTAATCTCCAAACAGAATGAGTGAAAAGTGGATGTAAGGAAAGGTGATGAAATAAAATGAAAAGAATTAGATTACAAGGTCCCACTGAAGTGTGTGAAGAAGTATTAATAGTAATATTGAAAATGGATGCTTGGTGGAATGGTGACCCTGTGTATGGGGTAAAATACATATAAGCAAATAATTGCTGCAAAAGTTAGGAAGAGACAAAGATTGAATGGCATGTATAGAAAAAAAGTTGTAAAAATGTAGTCAGAGAGCAAGCAGTATTTAAGATGAAAAGGCCAAGAGAACATACAAGGCAATTTTGACAGAAATTTAAAAAATGCTTTGAAAGGGGAGGAAGAGAGATAAACAAAGAACCTCCAACAAAATTAATCGAGTTAAAAATAAAAATGATTAAATTATTTGGCATGAAACCAAAGTGAGGAAATGCTAGATGGAGTATTTTAGGGATTTGTACAGAAATGATAGTGGTAAGTCAAAGCCTGGAATTGAACAAATGCTATAAATACTAATGCAGGTCTGGGCAAGATGTCTGGTCTTGCCAAAGATGTAGAAAATCCTTATTTTTGCTCCTGTCCTCTGACCTTCTCTTGCTAAATCTGAACCTTCATTTTTATTAGTTTGGCCTAATTTACCAACTATCTCTCCCATATCTTTAGCTTGCATCCTCGCTTCTGCCTTTTTCTGGGCCTCCCTCTCCCTTGGGTCCTTCCCAATGCTTATTAGGCCTTGGTGTGCCTCCTCAACCTTCCAAACAGCCAAATCTAGGTAGCACTTTTGCATCCAGAAGCATCCTGGCACCAGTAGGATTTGCAGGATTTGCCCCATCATACCTTCCACAGTTCCCTCACCTGTTGTTGTTGTGGGGGTTTTTTTTGGTTTGGGGTAATTTCTTGCCTATGTTGAGGAGCCTAGCCCACAGCTCCCTTACTCCACTATGGATATCATACATGTGTTTCCTGAACTGCTGTTGTTACAAAAATGTGTCTTTTTGCAAGGAATGAATATTTGTCAAATAAAACAAAACTGCTTGTGTATAGGAGCATGCTTCTACCCACTTTGCTACATGGAAATAGGGGCGGAGTATGTCCAGAGAAATATAAAAGTAAGTTGAATGCAGTCAGAATGGGATACTGAAGTGGGGTAGAACAGAAGGAGAAGTGGCCATGCAAGTGCAGGAAAATATGTGATTGAGTTAGATGCTTACAGCGTGTCTATACTTGCTCCAAAGCACCTTGTGACATTCAGTTGGTACCTTAATTCAAACATGTATTACTTTGGACCACATGCATTCTATGTATTTCTTTTCTACTGGTCACTCACTTTGTATTCAGTGTGCATCTGTTCATTCTAGGCCCTGGAGCATCTTTAGCACTGACAGGTGCAACATTATGGAGAGAGATACTGAATGAATGGTATTGGTGTATTTCGCTGTTTTCTTTTAGAAATGTCTCATGCCTTTAATTTCTTTAGCTTGTTATTTCTTATTCCCATTCTGTTCCTTGCTAGCACTGCATACCCCAGAAGGGAACAGTGTGATGGGTATGTTTGTTGTTTGAGAGTTGTTATTTCTGTCCACAGTTTTAAATTTTGGGAGCTGTTACTTCTGTCCACAGTTTAAATTTAAATATTTAAACTTAAGCTGTGAACAAGAATTGTTATGAAATAAAAGGCTTTATCTTATTTGGCAGTCTTTGTGAAATATTTGATAAGTTGTTCAGCGTCTCATATTTGCCTTTTGAAATGAATGAGTATTCAGTTAGTTACAGTAATGTAATCCATTATTATGTGACACATTCCTCTTTTAGAACAGATGAGAGGGAATAAATCTTTGCCTGAAAAATGTAGCAGAGTTCTCTGATACAATGTCTTATTTTTCTGTTGTTATTTTATATACAGATCTGAAGGCCACTTGTGTTTACCTGTACGATATACGCACTCATTTCCAGATGCTCTGCAGAAACTTTACAGTGGTGAATTCAGGTAATATAAGTTTAAATACCTAAAGAATTTTGTCTTTAAAAATAATTTTAGGTTTTAGACAAATATCATTGACATGTACTGGGGACAAAACCTAATGACTATTTTTTTCCATCCCTATATTAATGTAGGAATGTAGGAATCACTGAATACAAAACAGTGCTTAATTTGCACCTACCGTATTTTTCCGTTAATAAGATGCCCCCATGTATAAGATGACCCCCACTTTTCC